AAATACTTGAGGTGAGTAACGTTCTAGTTGTTTTGGAGTGTTTTCCCTTCCATTGTTTCCAACTGGAATGCGCCTTTGCCGGCTACTGCTGTGATTTTGTAGGGTCCTTCCCAGTTCGTGCCCAGTTTCCCTTCACTTGGGTCTTTGGATGCCAATGTCTTGGCTTTAAGGACATAGTCTCCCACCTTGAGTGGTCTTATTTTGGCCCTCTTGTTGTAGTATCTTTCGACTTGTTGCTTTTGGGCCACCATTCTGATATGGGCCATTTCTCTCCTTTCCTCAGCTTCGTCGAGGTCTTGGAGCCTGTTTGTGTCGTTTTCTGTTCCACTGGTGTGTGAATATCTTAGGCTTGGTTCGCCGACCTCGACGGGTATGACCGCATCGGTTCCGTAGACCAGCGAGTACGGTGTTTCCCCCGTGCTGGATTTGGGTGTGGTCCTGTGTGCCCATAACACTTCGGGTAGCAGCTCGGGCCATAGCCCTTTGGCGTCCTCGAGTTTCTTCTTTAGTATGTTTAATATTGTTTTGTTGGAGGATTCCGCTTGGCCGTTGGCGGCAGGGTGATATGGCGTGGAGAGTATCCTCTTGATGCGCCATTTCTCGAAGAATTCGGTTGTTTTTTGACCGATGAACTGTCGTCCGTTGTCACAACTGATTTCCTTGGGGATGCCGAAGCGGCATATAATATTTTTCCATATGAAGGCGATCACTTCCTGTTCGCGTATTTGGGCATACGCACCTGCTTCCACCCACTTGGAAAAATAGTCAGTTAAAACTAATAGAAATCGTACCTTTCCTCGTCCCGCTGGTAGGGGACCGACTATGTCCATTCCCCATTTGATGAAGGGCCATGGGGAAGTGACCGAGTGAAGTGGTTCTCCTGGTTGATGTATCATGGGGGCATACTTTTGGCATTGTTCGCATCGGCGGACATATTCCGCTGCGTCTTTCTTCATAGTGGGCCAATAATAGCCGGCTCGTATTATGCAGCGCACGAGGGCGCGATTGCCTGTATGGGCACCACAATGTCCTTCATGCACCTCTTCGAGCACTGGCCGCGTTTGTTGCGGCCCTAGACACTTGGCCAGGGGTCCGCCAAACGTCTTTTTGTAGAGCTCGTGGTTTATCAGGCAATACCGGCGGCCTGTACGCGGAGCTTCTTGGCTTCTTTTTTGTCGAGGGGGAGTGTTCCATCCTGCAGATAGGATACAAATTGGTTGCGCCAGTCCCAAGTCAAATTTAAAGAGAGTACCTCAGTGTGATCAATGGCTGAATGGAGGAGGGTGACCACGCTTTCTTTGTTGAAGTTTTTAGTGGTTGCGGCTAATTTTGCTAAGCCGTCTGCCTCGACGTTCTGTGCTCTCGGAACTTGTTCGAAGCGGCACTCGTCGAACTCGGTCATTAACCTGTGGATCTCTGACTTGTATTTTTGCAACCTCTGCTCCTTGATTTGGTAAGTCCCAGTGACCTGGTTCACCACGAGCTGAGAGCCGCAATGGAGAACGAGTCGTCGAGCTCCATACTTGATGGCTAGTTTCAAACCTGCAATAACAGCCTCGTACTCGGCTTCGTTTTTAGTCATCTCGGGGCATCGTATGGACTGGCGGATTGTTTCGCCCGTGGGGACCTCGAGAACGAGTCCCAGTCCCGATCCCGAGGCGTTAGCGGCGCCATCAGTGTAAAGAGTCCATAGGTCGGCATTGGAGGGGGCACGGCGTGCCTCCAATTCCGCCTCTGGTAGTATCTCTGCGCTAAAGTCGGCTATGAAGTCGACAAGTACCTGCGACTTGATGGCGTTTCTGGGATGATATGAGATATCGTGCTCACTAAGCTCTATGGCCCATCGGGCGAGTCTGCCTGATAACTCAGGCTTGTGCAGGATACTTCTTAAGGGGAAGGTCGTCACTACCTTTATGGGGTGGCATTGGAAATAGGGTCGGAGCTTCCGTGAAGCTACGACCAATGCCAAAGCTAATTTTTCAAGGTGTGGATACCGTGTTTCGGCGTCCACTAAGGTTTTGCTAATATAGTAAATAGGAGATTGCGTACCTTTATTTTCACGAACTAGGACTGCGCTGACGGCGACCTCTGATACGGCCAAATATACCAGCAGTGGCTCGCCTGGATTTGCTTTGGCTAGCAGTGGCGGTGAAGATAGGTACGCTTTCAATTTCCTTAGGGCCTCGACGCATTCCTCATTCCACTGTAACCCTTTGTCCTTTCTCAGCACATTAAAAAACTTATGGCATCTGTCGGAGGACCGTGAGATGAACCTAGACAAGGCGGCTATTCGCCCCGTCAACTTTTGCACCTGCTTTTTGCTATTCAGTATCTCGGGTATCGCGTCTATCGCCTTGATCTGATCTGGATTGACTTCAATACCCCGTTGTGATACGAGAAACCCTAAGAATTTTCCTGATGCCACGCCGAAGGCGCATTTCTCGGGGTTCAGTTTCATCCCGTATTTTCTCAATATCGCGAAGGTTTCTTTCAGATGGTCGATGTGGTCCTCTTTTCTTGCCGACTTTACCAGCATGTCGTCGATATAGACTTCCATAGTCTTACCGAGCTACTCTTTGAACATTCTGGTGACCAGTCTCTGGTACGTAGCCCCTGCATTTTTGAGCCCGAAGGGCATTACCTTGTAGCAGTAAGTCCCTTGGTGGGTGATGAAAGTTGTCTTCTCTTGGTCCTCCTCGGCCATCATGATTTGATTGTAGCCGGAGTAGGCGTCTAGGAAGCTCAGTAGTTCATGTCCTGCAGTGGCGTCGATCAGTTGGTCGATGTGGGGTAGTGGGAATGAATCCTTTGGGCATGCCTTGTTCAGGTCAGTGAAATCCACACACATTCTCCACTTCCCGTTTTTCTTTTTGACCATGACAACATTGGCGACCCACTCGGGGTACTTTGATTCTCTGATGGAGCCGTTGGCCAGTAGCTCGTCTACTTCCTTACTGACCGCTTCATTGATAGCGGCGTTGAATTTTCTCCTCATCTGTCGCACGGACGGATGTAGTGGATCGACATTCAGCTTGTGGGTGGCGATGTCTCGCGGGATTCCCGGCATATCTGAATGGTAAAAGGCGAACAAATCTGCATGGTTAGTTAAGAATTCACAATACTTACTTGGGTTGGCGAGACCTTGCCCGATATAGGCTTTCTTCGTAAGATCGGTTTCGTCCAATTGGACTGGGTCGAGATCTTCGACCGTTGCNGTGTGGTCCTGTGTGCCCACAACACTTCAGGTAGCAGCTCGGGCCATAGCCCTTTGGCGTCCTTGAGTTTCTTCTTTAGTATGTTTAATATTGTTTTGTTGGAGGATTCCGCTTGGCCGTTGGCGGCGGGGTGATATGGCGTGGAGAGTATCCTCTTGATGCGCCATTTCTCGAAGAATTCGGTTGTTTTTTGACCGATGAACTGTCGTCCGTTGTCACAACTGATTTCTTTGGGGATGCCGAAGCGGCATATAATATTTTTCCATATGAAGGCGATCACTTCCTGTTCGCGTATTTGGGCGTACGCTCCTGCTTCCACCCACTTGGAAAAATAGTCAGTTAAAACTAATAGAAATCGTACCTTTCCTCGTCCCGCTGGTAGGGGACCGACTATGTCCATTCCCCATTTGATGAAGGGCCATGGGGAAGTGACCGAGTGAAGTGGTTCTCCTGGTTGGTGTATCATGGGGGCATACTTTTGGCATTGTTCGCATCGGCGAACATATTCCGCTGCGTCTTTCTTCATAGTGGGCCAATAATAGCCGGCTCGTATTATGCAGCGCACGAGGGCGCGGTTGCCTGTATGGGCACTGCAATGTCCTTCATGCACCTCTTCGAGCACTGGCCGCGTTTGTTGCGGCCCTAGACACTTGGCCAGGGGTCCGCCAAACGTCCTTTTGTAGAGCTCGTGGTTTATCAGGCAATACCGGGCGGCCTGTACGCGGAGCTTCTTGGCTTCCTTTTTGTCGAGGGGGAGTGTTCCATCCTGCAGATAGGATACGAATTGGTTGCGCCAGTCCCAAGTCAAATTTAAAGAGAGTACCTCAGTGTGATCAATGGCTGAATAGAGGAGGGTGACCACGCTTTCTTTGTTGAAGTTTTTAGTGGCTGCGGCTAATTTTGCTAAGCCGTCTGCCTCGACGTTCTGTGCTCTCGGAACTTGTTCGAAGCGGCACTCGTCGAACTCGGTCATTAACCTGTGGATCTCTGACTGGTATTTTTGCAACCTCTGCTCCTTGATTTGGTAAGTCCCAGTGACCTGGTTCACCACGAGCTGAGAGTCGCAATGGAGAACGAGTCGTCGAGCTCCATACTTGATGGCTAGTTTCAAACCTGCAATAACAACCTCGTACTCGACTTCGTTGTTAGTCATCTCGGGGCATCGTATGGACTGGCGGATTGTTTCGCCCGTGGGGACCTCGAGAACGAGTCCCAGTCCCGATCCCGAGGCGTTAGCAGCGCCATCAGTGTAAAGAGTCCATAGGTCGGCATTGGAGGGGGCACGACGTGCCTCCAATTCCGCCTCTGGTAGTATCTCTGCGCTGAAGTCGGCTATAAAGTCGGCAAGTACCTGCGACTTGATGGCATTTCTGGGATGATATGAGATATCGTGCTCACTGAGCTCTATGGCCCATCGGGCGAGTCTGCCTGATAACTCAGGCTTGTGCAGGATACTTCTTAAGGGGAAGGTCGTCACTACCTTTATGGGGTGGCATTGGAAATAGGGTCGGAGCTTCCGTGAAGCTACGACCAAGGCCAAAGCTAATTTTTCAAGGTGTGGATACCGTGTTTCGGCGTCCACTAAGGTTTTGCTAATATAGTAAATAGGAGATTGCGTACCTTCATTTTCACGAACTAGGACTGCGCTGACGGCGACCTCAGATACGGCCAAATATACCAGCAGTGGCTCGCCTGGATTTGCTTTGGCTAGCGGTGGCGGTGAAGATAGGTACGCTTTCAATTTCCTTAGGGCCTCGACGCATTCCTCATTCCACTGTAACCCTTTGTCCTTTCTCAGCACATTAAAAAACTTATGGCATCTGTCGGAGGACCGTGAGATGAACCTAGACAAGGCGACTATTCGCCCCGTCAACTTTTGCACATGCTAAGCTTGGATAATTTGAATACAAAGCACATAAAAGAAAGTTTGTTAAAGCTTTCAATTGAGTGAGGACTAGTGAGAGTGGCCCTTATGAAGCAATAAAGTGTATTTGGAAGTGGCAAAAAAGTACCAAGCCACCAATTTCCCCACCCAACTGTAACTCCAAGCAGTATAAACTGTCACTTGACCTGACCTTACATAGAAGTAACCCATCTTTTTGTAATAGACAGGACACTGGAAAAGAGGCAGCACTTCAACCTCGGATCTTGACAAGAGTAAAATAGTTGTTATGAGAGAAACAGTTAATCGAATTTCTCTTTTTAGCACAAACATCAGAAACAAAATTACTTAGTCTAACGCAGCCACAAGGCTTACTAAGCATTCTAATCCAAACAATGCATGTTGTTACATTAACGATGCATGTTGGCACCACTTGGTCCTGGATCTAACTAATATTTTCCAGTTGATGGCTGGAACAACCCAGTGTGCGATTATGTTAGGTCAATAAACCCACGAAACTGACACATATTCACACATCTATAAGTTTACAAAAAGTGAGGGCAAAACTAAAACATATGAAACATAATCAGAGAACTAAACGTGGTCAAAAGCTGTAGACACTATGAAAAAGTGGCCAAGGACATGCACACAAGCCCAAAGTCATGTCACAGCATCTTACGTCTCAAGCCCAGGCCATACCACTCTAGTAGTCAAGAATTCATGATGCATACAGTATTAACTAATTAATAACATGATACCATGGGTAGTCGATGAATAAAACGAAGGTCCATATTGATAATCCCACATAAAAACTATGGATAACCAATGAACAAAACTAAGTCAATATTGAAAATCACTAGTTGGTCCTTCGTTTTGCAGTCCACCACAACCCTCACCCTCTGCCCCAAGTTTTTTCCTGTGGCCTTATTATATATTCCTTGAGCTTCGTATCCTTATTGCTGCAGAGCTAAAAGTAATAGGAAAGATGTAAATGTAGCAAAAGGCTCACCATTGCAGAACATTGCAAGAAAAGTCAATCATGGGGACAATTATTGAGCAAGTACATAGAATCCTTTGGTTCAGCCACTGGTTACAGAATAAAAAAGTATTAACTGAGTTCCACCCACAAAATTACATGAGTTATATAAACAAAAATAAATAAAAAGATCAATAAATAAACTGCCTATTCTTACACTAGAATAATAAGCAGAATTCCTAACTCCAGAAAAGAGAACTTACAATTGCCAAGGCCACCCCGGCCTTTGTTGATGATTCCCCTTTGTCCAGTAAGTTCTAATGCTTCAACAATTACTTGGGTCATTTTAAATAGCTTTTGATATAACACTTGTTAGGAAACATCTGACAGGAATTTGATGTTTCGGACAAAAAATGAGTTCAAAGAGTAGAGCATAGAATAGGACATTCTACATATAACTATTTTAGCAGTCTCAGGTACAAAACTTGCTTCACAGTTCAAATCTTACAATGAAAACTAATCACAAGGTGCAAAATGCAAGGGTAAAAGAAACAAGGAGACACCATTCCGCTTTTTCTCAAAATTCTCAGGGACAAGGAAAGAAGGAATCTATGGTTTCATGGAGCGAAACTATTAGTTTCTTTATTTTACTTCTCTACTAAGAATGGATTTGCTTAATTGATCTGAAGTCGCAAAACATATAACTAATAAACAATGTAAGAGAATTCTAAGAATTTAGACTACCTTATTTAAAAGAATAGAGAATAGAAGAAGCAACAAAGCAAAAGATTATGCAAGCTACTAGCCTGGTTGAAAATGCATCTTGAAGCCCCAAGGTTGTATGATCTCTGTAGAATCACAAACTTCAGGACATAGATGGCAGTCTGTGTCATATCATAACAAATGTTAGAAAATTGTGGTGAGACCAATGGCTGCATAATGTATCATGTAAAACCTATTCAAAACCTACCAAAAACTATTAATATTCAACACCTACAAAAAACTATCTCTACTTTCCTACTCAACACCTACAAAAACCTATCAGATAAAATTTATTATGGAAATATATAATTAGAACTTACTCCATGTAGGAACAATCTCAAGACATAATTTTCTACACATGTAACAGAAAATCTAAAACTGTGAGTGATTCAGATCAACAATAAAAACTTTCAGCATATCCGTATTAACTAAAACTGGAAAAGAATCAACACCCAAATGCCCCACAAAAAAGAGCAGCCTTCAAAAGCTTTAGAATATGCCCAAGATTTCATAATAATCGTAAATTAGGTATGTATGTTGAAAAAAATATTCCGAGACATAAATTGAGTTCTCTAACATACTAACATTAACTCAAACACTTGGGTGGATATACTAATCTGCTATGAGGGTCTAAAACTTATGATTTCTAACAATTTCTTAGATACAAAGAGGAGAAAATCTAGAGAAATTGAGAGAGACGGGGAGAAAGCCATATATGCAGAAGAATGAAACTTACGACTTGGATTGACAGAGAAAGAAATCGTTCATGAGTTCGCTGGAGAAAGAAATCGAGTTTGCAGCTGAGGGAGAGTACTGTCAAATTGCGAAGAGGAGACAAAATCTGAACTTAGGGCCAACGAATTGAGTCGGAACTGAAATTCCAATATTTTCAGTGCAATAGTTGGGAGTTTGAGGATGAAAATCCCCAAGCTAGATGGAGAAGAAAAAGATGGACCTCAACAAGGGTGTTCTTTGGAAGAAATCCCCAAATTAAGTTTTGCTTTGCCGTTGGAGAAGAAACCCACAAGCTGATTTTGATGGAGACTGCCTTACTAGATGCAAAATACTTGTATTCAAGCGGAGTGCTGCTTGTGGGGGTGTGGTAGGTTTCGAAACAAAACACACTAGTTGAGGCGTTTAGAATAAGTGATAATTTTTTTTTATTTAAGAAAAACTTAGGGTTCCGCCAAACTAGAAGAGGGAAAACAAGGAGGGAAAATTCAACCGTTGCAATATTCTTTATTTTCAGAAAACCGTCTCAATAGATACGTCTATTGCAAGGGTTATATACCCGTTGCAATATCTTTTACTTGTTGCAACGGTTCACCCATTATTGCGACGGTTTTGTTCCAAAAGTGTTTCAACAGGCTCTATATACAAATGCAACGGTTATAATCGTTGTGATAGATGGTCTGTGGGAACGGTTACATAAATGTTGCTATAGAAACTGTTGCGATAGGGCGAATTTCTAGTAGTGATAGGCGGTTAGTGGACTCTTTATTTTTTTTGTCACGTGCGAAAATTTGCAAGGTATAGTGACTTGTACGGACCAAAAGACCTCGAGGTAGCAAGAGATAATTATTTTATCATGAGATCATATTAAAGTACCAAATTACAACATAATTGAAAGAAGAGCAACAATAATTAAAGGATCTGACATGATCTCAGCACAAGAAAGTTAAAAATCAACCACTTATTGATAAATTACTGCTTAGTGTTTGAAGAGAATTTCGTTGATCAATTTATCTATTGCCACAAAAGATGATCCTTCTGGTTTTTGAGTAGCTTCCTCAGCCAATTTCTTTCATTTCAATGCCTTTTTCTTCATTTCTTTGCCTTTATCTCCAGCCATCAACTCTCTCACAAGGCTTTCAACTTTGTCCCTCTTCACATTATTGTCAACTTCCATTCCTATTCCCCATTGGGTGCCTTTAAACCAACAATTAGTTTGTTGTTCGGCGAAGAATGGCAACAAATCATTGGCACCCCACTGCCAATACTTTCAAGAGTCGAATTTCGTTCACTTTGAGTCAAGAAACCTCTGATTGCAGGGTGGTTAAGTACATGTTCTTATGGACACCAACTCGCTAACATCCCTCTTTCTTTAGTTTGTTCCACGAATTTGGATGGAAGAATTGCTTGTTCCCCTGATACAATATCAGGCCTTATAATCCACAAAAATTCCATTTGGCTATTAGCAAGCCCCCAAGTGAATTCAATTTGTTGGTTCGGAGTCATTACAGTAATGCTTCCGAAATTAACATAAACAATAGAATTTGGTTTTTTGGAATCTAGCCATTCTAGACACTATGCATCCTCTATCCAAAGATTGGATCCCAAGCACCCCAAATTCTTGTCCTTAATGCGTTTTACAAGAAAATGTAAGGGACCAATGGCATAAATTGGAGAAAGAAGGGTACTAAGTGATTCAAGAACTTCCTTCTCTAATAGCTCAAATGTATTAATTACAATAGCAGAAGCAAATTTGCTTCTATCTGTTTCTTGAAGAAGGAACTTGAACATATATTCATCTGGATTTGTACTTCTTAAGAAACTTGGTAAATCCCTTAAACGTATACCTTTCATTCCTGGTAGTCAAAGCCGTCTCCAAATATCCATTTGTCAAGTCACTTGCATCTGCAGTTCCCCAAACAGATAAAAGAACAAAAGTCGAACACAAACTGAAATTGATTTGGCTATTAGAAAAAGGAAGAAAGCATGCATGACTATACCTTTAAGTGGAAAATATCCTTTGTCAGAAAGGTCACGGTAATGCATGTAACCTAACAAACCACAAGCACTAGGGGTCAAAAACAGAACTTCAGGGATGCCCAAGTCTTGAGCAGCATCCAGTGTGAAGCTCATACAACCATCGGAAATAATGCACGAGATGCGTGGCACGTTAGATGAAGAAGTATTATTGAGCTTGGCGAGCAACTCTTTGAAAGGACCTAAACAAGTAGTGGTTGTGGATTCACATAGAGAAGGAATATCTTGAGTTGAATCAACACCACATGGTAACTAATACATATACCATGCACTCGAAAGAAAGTAATGATAATTAATATGAATGTTGTCCTCAAGGATGTTTAGAAGAAGGTATTTTTTGATTCCTAGCTACTTTCTTAATCTTGATAGTTGATAGGAAGATGGCTTATTTAATAATACCTGAGCTAAACTAGTTGATTGCTTTGGCAGCCAGCAGGTTTGAACTTGTTGAGTTTATTTGATTGGATTATTTTTTTAATTGGTGATTAGAAAAATAATATGCAGATCTTGGAACAAGAGAAGTAGGTTTAGTGTATGATTCAACAATTATTTTATGCCATTATGATAAATTTGTATATTATAGTTATCCTATCTACACGATTATTGTAGAAGGAATATGTACTTTAAGGTGTAGTTTTAGTGAGAAATCTCAGTCCTCTGCTTTTGTTTTGTGACTTTGGCCTTGGCGTCTTATGAGACAATGCTGCCAAAAGATCCGTGATTTGGTAAAATTATAAGAATAAAAATGAAGACATATTCGGAAGTTATAAAATATGCATATACTATTAGGACTCTCAAGTTCACGGATATGTTCATATATTGTCACGATTCAAAATTAACTCGTCGTAATGGCGCCTATCATAGAACAATGCAAGCCGATTTTTCAGATATTTCCAACACTCTAAAGCTTTGAAAGATACGGAAGAAATTTGATTTAAGAAAAACCTTTTAAAAGCTGAATAAGAATTCATAACTCAATACATTATTTCTCCCAGAAATCGGGACGTCACCGAGTACATGAGCATCTATATGAAGATATAGTCTAGTACATCGTCTAGAAAATAGAACTGAAACATAAAATGAAAGATATGGAGGGAGAGTCAAGGTCTACGAACGTCAAGAAGCTACATCGATAATCTCCGAAAATACGGACTCCACAACTCAGCAACCGTCGTGATCGAAAGCACCTGGATCTGCACACGAGGTGCAGGGTGTAGCGCGAGTACAACCAAATCAATAAGTGTCACGATCCCAAAACTAACCGGATCGTGATGGCGCCTATCGTGAAACTAGGTCAGCCGACACATTTCCCAAGTAGTTCAATATTTCATTAAAACTTAAATAATAACCCTTTCAACTGAAACTCCATAAAAGATGCAAAGTCAAAACCAAAATAAATGCGGAAACAAAAAGCCCGACCTCGGGTGTCACTAAGTCATGAGCAATACTACAATTTGTCCCGAAATATAACAAGACCAAATTAGTCTGTAAATAGTCAAAGTACTCTAGAAGGAAGATAGAGAAGGAGAAGGCGGAACTGCGATCGCCAGGCAGCTACCTCGCTATCTCCGTGATAACCCGCGACTGGAGTAGTCAACAGCCGCTACCATGCCCCGAGATACTTGGATCTGCACACAAGGTGTAGGGGATAACGTGAGTATACCAACTCAGTAAGTAACAAGTCCAAACAATGGACTGATAGGTACTGACGAACTAAACCTCAGCAATTATAATACATTTAAATTGTACAGGAAAGTAGGCATGCTGGCAATTCCATATGTTTAACTTGACAGTAAACCAAAATGCTAATCCGAACAATGTGAAGTATAAAGCTCAGTAAAACTCCACATGTCAATGCCAGAAATGTATGAAAATGCATCGGGTGCTCCCACTCTCAAGTTCTCAACCACTCGGTACCGCATATGGACATCCGACCGAGGGAAATCCATCCCGGAATATATATACAACACTGACCTCAAGTAAAACGTTACCGAGGAACAAGGGTAATCCAACCCTGAGGAGAAATCCATTTTCAGGTATTAGTACTTCGGACAAAACCATGTCTAGGGAAATCCATCCCTCAATAATATCATCCGCGCTCACTGGGGCTGTATAGACTCCGGAGGGAATCCTTTCAGCCCAAGCGCTATAACAAGCCAATGAAGGCATAATCAATAATCTGCTGCGGCATGCAGCCCGAACCCATAACCGTCACTCAAATTCAGGCACTCGGCCTCACTCAGTCATCACTCTCTAGTCTCACACACACGGGCTCACAATACCAAGAAATTAGCCCGAAACACTGATATGATGTGCCGAATAACAATAACCGAGACAGAGACATGATATGATATGCACGAACAAGACTGAGTGCAGAATATCAATGAAGCTAATGATATAACAGCAAGAAACGACCTCTCGGGTCTCAACAGTATCGACTTGAAGCCCTAACATGGTAATTAGCATGATTTACAGCTCGTTAACTTAATCACTACACAGATATCAGCAAGTAAGAGTCACTAAGCGATGCCATGGAATGTTCCCGGCCACAATTCTCACGGTGCACACCCATACGCCCGTCACTTGGCATTTGCGTCACCTCAATATATAATCATAGAACGGATAGTCCGACGTTTTGATCCTCAGAACCAAGTTTAGAAGCGTTACTTACCTCAAACCAAGCCAAAACTCTAACTCGCGTTGCCCTTGCCTCTCTATTCGGCCTCTAAATTCTCCGAATCTAACCAAAATCAGTATATTATCATCAATATACGCTGATGGAATGAAACCCACACGAAAATTATCAAATTAGACCAAAAATCCCGAATTTGGCTCAAATCCGGCCCCCGGGCCCACGTCCCGGAATCAGACAAAAATTACAAAACTAGAAACTCCTCTCACTCCCGAGTCTACACATACCAAAACCATCAAAATCGGACCTCAAATGATCCCTCAAACCCTCAACCAAAACTCTCCAAAGCTCAAGTTCTCCTTGACTTCTCTCCAAATTCCCACTAAATTCCATGATTAAACAGTGGAAAAATCATCATAAACACAATTAATAAAGCCCAACTCACTGATACCCCTCAATTCCCTCTTGAAATCACTGCTTTGAGCTCCAAAACTCGTCCAAAATGGTGAAGAATGGGCAGAAATTCGCGAAGGGGACCTTGTATACCTTCTGCCCAACATTTTCCGCATCTTCGGCCACCATGTCGCTTTTGCGACGCCGCACCTGCGGAAAATCCCTTGCAGGTACGGTTTCCACTTAAACCTCAAAATCCCGCTCCTGCGGTCAAGCACCCGCAGCAGCGGTCTCGCAGGTAACCGGCGCACCCCAAGGCGAGACACTAGGTCTAATAAAGACCTTACCTAGCA